AGAAGAGGTCAGCGTCACTTTGGCATAACAATATTATTGCTACAATTGCTTTTAGTTCCTTTTCGACAACTTTTTCACTTTTCAACTTCTACAATAGAACACTTTCTACGGAATTATAATTGTAGTATCAGAAACATATTTATATAGGAGTCTCAAACTAAAATTGAAGTGGCAGGCACACATTTAGATGTTCCAAAACATATATGCTTTATATATGCTTAAAGCACATCCATCAACTAATTCTCATTTTGATATAATTCTGTATGATTTTTTAAAATTTTTTTTATGAATTTATAAATATTAAATTTGGCAAACTTTTAAATTAAAAGTGAAATTGGCTTCATTTTTTCAATATATTTAGTTAACAAAATAAATTTATCAAAATCAAAAAATATTAAAAATTCAATTTGCAAGCAAATGTCGGGGATTTTTTCACTTTTCCGTTTTATGAAAAACAAGCAAATGAAATTAATTCAGCTGAAGCAAAACTGAACTTTTTTTTCCCAAATTTTTATTGAATGTTACCCCTCAAAAAACAGTCCAACATCCACTTTAGAACGGAACAATATTGTTTTGGCAAGTTTTTTTTGCGAATCATGTCAGTAGCACATGTGGTGCTGTATGAGATTAAAATCGTGCCCACATACCCGTAGCACCAAATGAGAGTTTAATGGTCTTGAATTCTTTAGAACAATTCATGTATGATTATTAAAAAAAAAGTTATATGAACTTAAAATGAAAAATTAAAGTCACTCGATGTCTGCACAGAGAGCAGATATATGTTAAGTAGAACAATTCTATTTATTTTGACTTTTGAACAAAGTCAAGTCCTTGTCTGTTAAATTGCTTTTATTAAGAAAGCATATTATTGTATATTTTTCAATTAAAATTAATTTTATTTTATTTTGTTATGTATTAATATTGTTTATTTATTAATTGTTACAGTTGTACCTAACTAAGAGATTCTGTTTAAACGTGAGTTTCGCACCAAATCCGTTGTGCGTGCTGCCGAAGCAGGTGGATTCGTCGTATAAGTACGAGTACCACTTGGAGACTGTAATTCCATCGGGTTTTGACTCATGTTTTATATCAAGAAAATAGTTAAAGGGAGCAATGTCAGTCCTGTAAGCTTTGCACGTAGTGATAGTTTATTTTTAAATAGGCCGCACCTAACCTGGAGAACAGACGTCCTTTGCAGCCGCTTATTGAGTACCGACGCTACGTTATGGACTGCGCTTAACTTCATTACTCCACATTCGATCTTACCGACAAGGGAGACCCTACCAGTAGCAAGCTATCGCCGTCATCGCTCAAAGATTCTTTGTAACTACTGAGCCTCCTCACCACATCAAGGTGGCAATTCTCGAGGAGGTGGCCTCAGCCCAATGTTCGCCTGTGAACGTAATGAAATGTAGAAGATAACATATTTATTAATAAAAAAATCCACTGCCAACAAAAAGTATTTGTACTTCTCTTGTTAATTTTAACAAATTATATAACAAATATCGTTCATAAAAGCATAAGTACTTTGGTGAAGGATCTGAAAATTAATGCCTGAGAAATCACTTGCACTCAATCCAACACTGAATGTTCCATATTGTGCCAAATCTATTTATTTTTATATATCGCCTATATTGTTCTTTTTTTCCTGTCTACGATTTTGTAATAAAAACTCTGAATAAATGAAAAATTACTTTCAATTTTTAACTCGATTGTTAATAATTCGAGAATGAAATGTGAATAACTGAGCTGTGGCATGTTGCTCGCATACAAAACAAAATGAAACCAGTACAATAGTAAGGCCCTTGGTTGCCACATGTCCGTATTGGTTGCTCGGCACGCAGAGCCATGCAATTCAGTCTAGCTGTCAATTTGACTCCTGTGATGGATGTTCTTGACATGGGCTTGCTCACTTTGCAATACTTCGAAAGTGATTAAAGAATACCGCAGCGTCGCATGATGTTGCATACTTTACGGCACTTAAAACGACGATTTTAACATTTATTCTTTAATATAATAGTGCATATAACATATATTGATGAGAATGGTGCGTGAATTTAAGAGTAGATGAATTTAAATTAAATCCATTAATAGCTGATATTTTTATTATGGCTGCGAAACATAGAAGCCTTCAAAACATATAGAAAGGAAGATACAAATATTTTTAAATAAATGCCTGCGAACAATTTCAGTAATATGTTGGCCTAACCACATATCAAATGCAGAACTTTTGCTCCAAACAAATCAGAAAGCTGCTGTAACTGAAATAAATATGGCAAAATGGAATTGAATAGAACATTCGTTGACCAAATAAATACATTCGATGACAAGCTTTGACATGGAACCCACAAGACAGCAGAGGCCCTGGTGCACCGGCTTTAACTTGGAGAAGAAGAATTGAAAGAAAGGTGACAGAAGCGCACTACATATGGAACGATATATGCTGAGAAACACCTAACAGTCTGCGGTTCAAGAGAATCGTTGCGGCCCTATGACCCACTAGGGGAAACGGATACAAAGAAGAATAGCTATATATATTATATTATTATAATATATATGAATATATTTATTTGTGACCCTGAATCTTCTCGTAATATAAATGGAAAGCGTGGTTCTTTTTGGTTTAGTCTCATTATTTTACACTATATGCATATTACAAATTTAATTATAAAGAAATAAAATATATTTAAATTCCTAAAATTAGAAGAACGTTTAACTTTACCGATTTGCCCACTTTGACATGGAGTAGAACTAATCAACATTATTGACTCGGCTACATTAGTATACTGGAAACTAATCAACGATATTATATTTTATGAAAACGATTAAAATATTGGAGTATTTTACCTATGATGACAACTCATTCGAATTTTTTTAAGTCGAGTATTCCATCAGGGGGCTATCGTGAGCATTGAATCTCAATCTGTCAATGTACTTTAACATTATCTTTTGTCATTGGGTTCGTTTATATATGTTTATTTATATATGTTTTCTTTTAAGAATCTGTAACTAGGATACCTATTGCAACATTGCTGTCCACATTTATATTAAGATATATACGTAATTTTTTTTCGTTTGATACAAGGGATGTGTTATCTCCAGTTAAACCCTACAAATAAGAAAAAAAATAACAAATATAAATTATTTGAATTTTTTTAATTTTTTTTATTGTCAAAATAATTGCACAAAATAGCTTATAAAATAAAATGAATTCAATATAAGATAAAAAAAATATAAATTTATAATAATAAGATATGGTTGTGTAGCGTTTAGCAAAGCTTTAAACACTACTATTCACCAGCTAGAAATTGCACAAAGCTAGGCTCTGAGAAGACTTTTCAAAGTTCTATGGTACATTAGGACGAATGACATCCTTAGGGACATCGAGATAGATCCCATAAAAAAATACATAAAGAATAGAGCCCTGAAACTATTTACGAAAACTATCAGACTTACGAACACCGCGTTATCAAATCTCAAAATGGTTACATGCTCCTCGGGAAAGTATGCAGATCTGAGGTCAATTATTGCTTAGTCTGATGAAGTGATAAACAATTATCCAGTCATGGTGTAAAGAGGGGTTTTGAAAATACCTCGAGTTAAAAAAGAGTAAAAGGGCTTAAGTGCACTGGCTCAAACCTCTTATAATTTTTTATTCATATTTTTTAATACATTTAATTGAAAAGTATGAAGTACCATTTTGATGTTAAAGAAGTTAAACACCCGAATAAAACTTTCCTTATTTTTCAATCTGTATTTCTGTTTTGATCATCTCATAACCAAACTTTTAACCAAAGAGTAAATATGAATTTGGTCATTTCTATTGTACCATGGAATATTTTTAAACTGTTACTTTATATTATACAAATATCTTTTTTATAAATAATTGTGAAACAAAATTTAGTTTTTACTTTTAGTGTCGTTTTGAATTTTGTACATTTTTATCTGCAAACTTTTTAGATGTCAAACTGTCAGAGAATGTTTCTGCATTTTTTAATAATGCAATTTTGTTCAAATAAAACTCTATTTTTCATTAATTTAATCATTTTTAATGCACTTTTCGTTTTATACCCGACATTTCCAGATAGTTGGAACATAAAATAATAATGCTGTCGGCGTTTTCATTTCAGATTAACACAATTATTTCTTTAATTTATTTGAAAAATGCCACTTGAAAGTTATTTTTGCATTTTCTATATTTAAGATACAATTCATTTTAGTGAATAAATTATATATTTTTTTAATTTAATTTATTTTTATATATTCTACTATTTAAATATTCATATTATTATATATCTAACTTTAAGTATTTTTTCTAGTTAGTTTACTCTGGCAGCATTTTCTCTCTACCTCACAGATTAGTATCCACCTGCTCTGTTGATATTTTTGTATATATTTCACACGTTTAAAACAAATAAATGAGATAAATATGTATGAAATAACAAATAAATAAATAATGGAATTAAAATATTTCTAATTTACTTAAAAATTATGCAGTTGATTTAATATAAATTTATTAATATGTATGCCATCAAATTGCATATAATTATTTTAGTTAATGTTAGTTATATGTAGCATACCCACATATATATATATAACAAATATAATATAAAATTCTTTTATAAAAAAAAATATTTTTGTTTTTCAGGACAACACAAGGACTTTATTTAGAAATTTTAATGCAATTACTTAAGGACGACAGTAGCGTGAACTTTTGATTGAGAAAAAATAAATAAAAGTGTTTTATGCTTTCATATTGAAAATAAATTTTTTGTTGAAAAATATCAAAGTGTATTTAAGACCATAAAAAAGTAACACAAAATGCAATAGAGTTGACTAGAAAAACTAGAGGTATTAAATATTACTGAAGAGAGCACAGATGTTCTTCACTTGTGCCAATTTTTAAGCAAAAAAAAAACAGAGACCACAAGTGAAGGAAAATATAAAATCTAATAATTTAACAAAATACAATTTGTTTAACAAGAAAACAACAATAAAACAAGTGCAACATCAACAACAACAACTACTACTACTACTACATTCATAACAACAGCACTAACAAGAAAAAAACGAAACAATATGGCAACGTTGAAGTTGCATAGAAGAAAGACAAAGCATAAGCAACAAATGCAGGAATGGCAACAGCAACTGCAGCGGCAACCACAATGGCTACTTGTGTCAGTTGTCATGTTGACACTGTTTGCAGTGTCTATTCAAGGGATTACAGAGGAATTGTCACCAGGTAAGTGAAGTAACAGCTGTTAATAACCCTGACAACCCCCGACCACAAGTTGAAAGCTTGGCAATGTTGCCTACAGAAATTGGCACAGATTGGTAAAGTGCATAGAAAATAAACAAGAAAAAGTAAGAAATGAGAAATGAGAAATGAACTATATTTTCTAACAAAGCACAGACCACCGACTACCACCCACCGCTTAGTTTACTTAGTTTACTCAAGTTCTTAATGCTATATTTTTTTTTAATGCAAGACCTCTTTGCATTACGAAGGTTATATTTACTGTTCTAATACGAACGAAGCTGCCACATTGTTCGAATTTTTTAATGTTAAGTATCTTTTTTCACCTGAGTGAGTTAATATCTGAAATGGTGTTAATGAATTCAGAATGAAACGATGTTAGTGAATGAATACTAACTATACCTTTAGATAAAAAATATAGTCACAGCAATAGAAAGGCTTAAAATTTTTTTTTATACCACATGAAAATTAAATGAGTTTTCCAAGTGGGAACAGATTTATATCTTCACATGCTTAAAGCATTGTGAAGCATAGAAAAATTGAATATAAAAAACAGATCAAAACTTAACTACTATAAGCTATAGAGAATTTTATCGTAAGTAGAATTCATATTCCAGGTTTTATTTTTTAATTGTTAGTTTTAATCAAGTAAAGATAATAATGTTAATAATTATAATTATGTTAATAAAATATTATAATTATGTTAATAAAATATTCTATTTTTAAAACTAAGATATGTCCATTATGTAGTCTATGCTTAACAGTAGTACTGCTAAGTTTTTAACCAGAAAAAAATACTTCCAAGACATAGCATTACTACTAATATGGCTCCATCACAAAAAGTATTGACTCACGTAGGTGGCTAGCCTATTTTAAATCCATTAGAAAAATTCCTTAACCTTCTTAGTATCCAACTTACAGTAAACAAACTTAAAGGGTATATGTTGACAGCATTACTGAAAATCAATGTTACCAATCACTGTCTGTCATACCCAAGTTTTTCTTGCTGGAAGTTAATAAAATAAATAATAAACTGGAAGTATAAATAAAATAAAGTATTTATTGAATAATATACTAGAGTTTTATATACTTGACTATAAACCTTATAAATTTTCTTTTATATTCTAATTAACTTATATATAAATGCAACATATTTTATTTTAATCAAAACTTTTTCTTATCCAAAACTGTTACTCTTAAAGCTAATCACTTAAATTTCAAATTTAAGCTTGGGACCAGACCTAAATACCCACTGTTCAGTTCAAATGATTTCATTTAAAGTATCTTCAAATATCAGATACAGAAAATGGTTGAATAAAAACATAAGCACGCACTCATTCATCTATTTTAATTTATCAGATTTCATTTTAATACGATTTTGATTGAAATTACTGTCATGACCTATGAAACTTCGAGATAGCAAACAGCAAAAAAAAAATATTAACAACAAAAGATATATTAAAACTTATAGACCACAAACCAATACATAAAAAGATATTCTAATCCCTTTGCCGCTCAAACACCTCAACAGTCTAAACAGCCCTAACAGCCCTAACAGCCTGAACAGAATCGACAGCAGCTTCGACACAACAGAAAATAAATTTTATTTAACAGATTAGACAACATTGACACGACCCATTGGAAGTACAAACACAGCAAGAAATTTGAACTCATTCAAAATTAGGTCTAAAAGCACACTTCATGAACTCAGATAAAAATAAAGTAGAACTGAAGATGCAAAAAAAGAAAAAAAATACATTAATTTCAGCAAATGACCCACTCGACCCACAACGAGGCAAAAGGAAAATTTCAATTTCATTTCATGCTGCAGATGCACTGTACTCACTTTGTGGTACTGCGGAGATTTGCTTTGTACTTTGCGTACTCCTCGTTGGCTGATGTTGCCTGATGTTGGCTGATGTTGTTGTTTAAAAGTATTTCGGCCTCCAAATGATGATGAATGCGTTACGCTGTGACCCAAATAAATTTGTCAATTTATCATTTTTGCAAAATGAGTCTGAGATTTATACTTCTAAACCTCGATGGTTTTTTATTTGCTTGTTCATAATTTTTTGTTAGAGGGAAAAGCGTATCTTGTTGCTTCTTAAATTTGCCTTTGCTTAGCTCACTCTTCCTCCTCCTCCACCTCGTCGTACTTCTCCTCTTGACAATTGAGTTGGTTCTTCCTTTTTTATTTGGGGTTTTTAGTTTTCCATTTTAGAGAATAGAAAACATGCCACTTAAGTGTATTTTTCCTACTTTTTCTAGTTCAACTCTCAACAGTTTCTGCTTTAAGTTTGTTTTAATTTTTAATTTTTGTTAATTTTTAAGCAGAATAATATTTATAAAAAAAAAAATTCTGATTTAATATTGAAATCTATTTGAGCTACAGATTTTATATATTAGCTAGTAGTTACTCTACTTTTGGGCAACAAACCCACAGTTTTAAAGTATATAAGATTGCAATATCTTTACCTTCTTTAAATCACTTCTAATTAATTGTCAATAGCAAGTATGATTTATATATAATTTAAATAAATATAAGTATTAACAAAATCAAAAAAGTTAGTTTAAAATTTTTGTCACTTAAATGCTTTCAATTTACTTTACCTCCACAGCCAACGAGATTCAAATTTTGCAATCCATCAAAAGTTTAATTCATCGACTTTATTCCCCTTCAAAAATAAATATGACAATTTTTGCACTTCCATAAATGAAAGTATGGAAGACTGATTCAAGAAACATTACAGTAAGAAGCCTCATAAAATACATGGAGGGGCCAGATGTGAATTTACACAACTCTTAAGCATTAAATACTCTACTCTAAAATACTCGTATATCATATTCGTACAAGTGTGCATGAGGGGGAGAATGCCAAGAAAAAAAATCATTTATCTTTCGTACTGTTTAGAGATATTCTTCAAATGCCTCACTTAAGGCAGTTCATGAGGGAAGATAAGTGTCTTCTTATACACTTATTAAACAATAATAATTGCAAATAATGTTATTTTATTTTGACAAGACATCAAATTTTCTTTTTCTTCTTAAATCAGTCGCTGGCTTTGTCGCTGCTTTGTCGTCTCTTCCATTCAATCCAAATTTGTCTTAACTTTTACATTCAACTTCGTTTAGTAACTTTTTCGAGTTTTCATTCAAATAAATATTATTCTTAAATATTCTTGTTGTGATTTGTACAACAATTTCTTCTTGTACTTCACTCGAATGTTTATAAATAAATCTTCAACCCCAAAATAAAATACTTTTATTTATATTTTGTGTACTTTGGTAAGTACTTCTTCTAAAGGATTTGTTATTATTGATTCAAGTATGCATTGAAACAACACAATTTATGCTTGAAGTATGTAAATTATCTACTGAATCGAAATCATCGTATCTGTGATATACACCATGACACTCATGATACTCAAGAATTCCAGTCAAAGGATATGAGTAATTGTTTATCCGGAATAAGTGCTGCCACGTGTGGAAAGTTCGAAAGAGTTAGATTATAATGTTCTATATGTCAACTACATAAACTTTTTTTCTCATTGTATAGAAACATTTATACCACACACTTAGCTTAAAGGAGTTATATTCAATTAAAAATAAATCTTTTGTTAGAGCAATAATTGTGGGAATTAAATATAAATTGAATTTTAAAATTTATTCTGTCAGTTTTACAGGACTGGACCACATACCTGAGATTGCTGCTGAACTCTTAATACAATTCATTCATAACACGCAATTATGCTAGAGTTTGAACGTAATATCCATTTTTTATACACTAATTAAGTTGTAGCCCTTAATTCAATCAGTAAATTTTCTATTTTAGGCACATTTGACTCGATAAGCCTACCAAATTGTTAATTTTTGGAGTGATGTATTCAGAGATTCCCACCATGAAGTTATAAGATACATATCTCTTCTTTTGAAATAATTATCTACAGATAGATACCCTGCAAAAACAAAGTTTTCCATGAACGAATGTCATGGAACAACTACCACACTCAACTAACGTGAAGTCCATATAAGTTCTTTCCATTCCCGAAATTAGAACTCAGTGGCTTAGGGTTATACCAGGGAAAGGAAATCTACTAGTAAAAAAAAAATTATTTGCAGTATTTTTTCAATTTATTAAAAATTTTTATTATGTATTATATTCTCAAAAGGACAGTTACTGCTACAGTGATATTTCCAGTTTATCAAACCTTTCGAATTCGACTTGACTTAGTTAATAAACGTATTCACCTATTATATATAAATATGTAGACCCCTATGCTTTAATAGACTTAGTTATAGTAGGATGAGAGCTCTAACTTGAAGCATAGTCTTGAACTGTTATGCTATGCAAAAATGTATGAACAGAAAGCTATTGGGGTAATGTCTATAATTTATACAATTCACTTATTAAATTCATATAACATAATATATAATCAAACATTCCTATTCATGTACTAAAAAAAGAACAGATAATTGCATCCTATTTATCTTATCATTAGCTATGCCTGATGTTAATTTAAAACATATATTTTAATAATAGGTTTAAACTCCGTTAAGTAGATATCAAAAAAGATAAGTCTAATAACCAAGCCTAATAAGTAGTAATATATATTACTATCACCTTTAGCCACCTTAAGATCACACAAATATTATTTTGTGTTCCATTAAACATTATTGTGTATAATACATATATAAACATTTACTTTCAAAAATTAAAAATTGAAATTCTTTTATTATAAATAACAATTTCTTTAGTCATTATTCATAAAACCTTTTTTTTTTGTTTCATAAATAAAAACCAATTGACTTCGAAAGATATCTCTTCCTCTACAGACCCCAATAATATCTGAACACTTAAGTTATTCACTTTTATGGAAAATTGCATAAAAAATTTAACTTCATCAGTGAAAGTTAAAAATTTACTGATTATAATATATATATTGTCTCGCCATTCAGAAATTTATATTAATGATCCTTCAAGCACA